TTAAAAACTGCTCAGAGAGTCAGTCTGGTGTAGTGGTTAAGTGCGCGGACTCTAATCTGGGAGAACCAGGTTTGATTCCCCACTCCTCCACTTGCAGCTGCTGGATGACCTTGGGCAAGCCATAGTTCTGGCAGAGCAGCCTGGTTTCTTCTCGGGACAAGCGGAGACCGTCCCCTTTGTACAGCTCCCTCTTGTTCCAAAAAGCATCCCAGTGCCTAATGAACTTGAACCCATCCCCCTACACCATCATCTCATTCATGCATTGAGACTCCTGATCTGTGCCTGTCTCTTCGGCCCTGTGTGTGGAACAGGTAGCACTTCTGAGAAGGCTACCTTGGAGATCCTGGCCTTGAGTTTCTTGCCTAGCAGCTTAAATTCTTCCTCCAGGACCTCACAACTGCATTTCCCCACATCATTCTACATCGTTGGTGCCAAGAAGTACCATGACCACTGGCTCCTCCCCAGCACTATCTACCAGCCTATCTAGAACACACATAATGTCCGATACCTTCACACCAGGAAGGCAAGTCAGCATATGGTCAGTTTGCCACCCAGCTGTCTACCTGCCTAAGGATCGAATCACCGACTACCCTCTCTCCCTGCCAAGTACTCAGTAGAAACCCCCCAAAGCAGGTGCCCCCAGGAAAGTGGGGAAATCACAGCAGGGTTCACTAGTGTATCAAAAGACCTTGTGCAAGCTAAAGGCATCAAACCTGCAGTTGACTTCCTCAGGGTGCCCCTCTATAAAACATGGGGAGGTCTAGCCCAGGAGTGTGGTGAAAAGTTGGAAAGCCACCTTGAGGGCTAGGCACAGCAAGGGCAGCTGATGATGCTAAGCCAGGGGGTGAGTATCTAAAGGTGCAGAAATCAAGGAACCTAGGGTCCAAGGTGCAAAGAAGGGGGGGTCTAGCACAGGAGGAGGTAGAAAATTGGAAAACCAAGTTGAGGGGCAGGTACAGCAAGGGCAGCTGATGATGCCAAGCCTGATGGGTGAGTGCCCAAAGCTGCAGAAGTCAAGGATCTTGGGGTCCAAAGTGCAAAAGGGGGAACGCCTAGTGTAGGAGAAGGGTGGAAAGTTGGAAAACCAAGACAAGTTGTGGTGCTCCAAGGAAAGTACTCTCTGGGGAAATCACAGCTTCAGGTCCAGGACTTCAGAGTATATAGAACGGAACCCCTTCAGCAGTCCTCCATGGGGAGCTCTCTTATTGGGAGCCAGCACTGCCTGTCGTGCTTTGGAGGGCCACTATTGGTGTTTCCAGGGCTGCAGAAGTCCATTCCCCCATTGCTTTGATCGGCACCAGCGTGTCTACTGCATGAACTGACACGAATTGCATGAACCTCAATGAAAACCATGGAGGTTCATGGACCCCCCCCCCTCCGGTAGAAAACAACCCAGGACGCATATGTTAGCATAATTTTTTGTCCCTCCATGAGTTTATTTTTCAGGGAGCAATTTTTAAGTTCCCTACAGAGATATAGCCCTTCATGACAACATGAAACCCTTCCAAACAATGTGGAGAAGACTTGTGTCACCACTAAACTATAGATTTGTGACGGAGATCAATAATCCAAGGTACAAACATGGGAAATTATTTTAGATGTTTTAATTCAACCCTGTTTTCAGTATCTTTTTTTTCCCATTTTGCAAAGTGAACCTATGATTATTTAGTTTTGTAATGTTTGCTGTTTCCTCACAGTATATTATTACATTACAATTCTACATGTTGACTATTTTTAGTCATCAGTAACTCAAGATAATGAATTGGATCCAGATGTCAGCCAGCAGAAGATGCTGACAGATGTAGTTATTTGCCACATTCTTCTCCCTAGCAGTCCCTTCTGATGGAGGAAGGGTTCTTCCCTTGGTCATGATCCACCCACTACAAACTAATAGCTGTGCATGTTAAGGGGGCAGTACAGAGAAGGAGGTAGACGTAAATTGCTCCTCTTCCTCCTAAAATATTAGGAGAGCTGCACTAGCAGAAGAGGTAAGAGGATGTAATTTCTTCATTTTCCTTCTCCTCAATAGCCACAAAGCATTGAGGAGGTTTATTTGCATGGCTCCTACAACCCTGAAAATCAACTTTCCTGCCATCGGAAGGAAATACTCCGTGTAGCAGGAAAAAACCCCTATTCCTTGATCTAACCCTATGTGTGTGTGCGTGTGTGTGTGTGTGTGTGTATACAAATAATATTGTCTGCTACAAAGTTTCTTTGCCTCTAGAAACCCTGAGTTGGCCATCTTTAATTTCAGAAATGTAGTGTTTTCACTAATCTTTTTACCAGTTTTAAATGTTTTCTTTCCTGTTTTCAGATGCTGTGTTACGGCATGGTTATGAGGAACCCTACTGGCATACACAAACTAAAATCCTGGGATTTTCAGGCCTTCAGTTCTCTGGGTCTGACCTGGAAGATCTGAGTTAGATTTTGAAACTGTTATCTAAATCTAAGGGATTAGTGTTGTTTTCACAGATTAATAATAAATCCAACCACAATTAGGTGTATATGTCTGGGTCCCTTCCCAATATTACCACACTGAATCACAGTATTTCCTTATAGATGAGAGGACAGAAAGCTCATTGACAGTTCTGACATACGTTATTTGTTTGACCCCCCTTCTTGAGGCATCAGTGGGTGGGAGATTATGATGGATCCATCACTGCAGACTAATCAGTCTGCATACATGCTATGGCACTCTCAGGATTCAGCATCTTCCTTTATACCTACATGCTGAGTAACGGGGAAGGGTGTTGATGAACATTTCTCTGCACAGGCCTAATGTGTCAGTGAAGAAAAGCAAGGTGTGATGAGAATACCAAGGCAAGATTGGAATCAGTGTGATCTGTCTAGCCATTGGCAAAATTCTTGGAAGAGTCAAAGAAGGTCCATAAAAACGTTGTGGGAGTTTTCATATGGGTGCATGGTGGCAAAATGGAAGAATTAATACTGTGATAGACATAGATTTTGCTTAGATGCATTTGGTCTTACTTCATGCACAGGCATGCTGTGCTAATTATCTATTTAGGTTAGTTGCAAAAAAGTAGAATAAATGATACAGGAGAGGGAAAAGACTTCACCATCTCTTGGCTATTAAGTGAGGTGAACTCCTGGGAGCAAGTTGTCATGAACAGAACATAAATTAAGCTCTGTCTAAGTTATACAGCCTTTTTTTATTATGATTTGACAGAAATTAGCAGAGTATATTGTAGCACACCATCTATGGAATGGCCTGGGCAAGTGAATTTAAACAACTGAAGAAGACATTGAACCAGACCTTCTCTCATTTGTCACAGATTTTAATATTATCGATCCATTGGTCCACATCAAGAATGAAGAAATAATACTGGATGACAGAACTTCAGCAGAGATGGAGACAGGGAACCTAAGAGGAAAAGGTCTGGAGAAGAAAAAGGACTCCAAGGTATTCAATACTGTTAGGTAATGGAAAGTCAGTGTGTGGGGGTAGAATGATTGTAGCACAGAATCAACGTTACTCCATCCTGTCTTTTACAATGTTTTACTATGTTATATGGAAGTGTTTCATTAATCACAAATCTTTAAAAAAATTAAAATTATGTCAGTGTGTTAGAGGAATTGCTCCTGGAGCCATGATGCCAAACTCCCTATATGCACTTACAGATCCACGTCCGTTTGGGACTGCAAACCTATGAAAACATGGATTCAGGTGGGTAGCCGTGTTGGTCTGAAGCAATACAACAAAGTTTGAGTCCAGTGGCACCTTTAAGACCAATAAAGATTAATTCTGGGTATAAGTTTTCATGTGCATGTACACTTTGTCTTCCAGAAATGAAAAAAGGGAAAGGGTATTCAAAACATATATGTTTATTTAGAATAAAATGGGCAACCTAAAGAAAAGTGGAGAGACAGAGCATATTCAAAACTTCATAACTGCATACCAAAGAATACCCTAAGGGAATTGGTTGTTGCTCTCTAAAGGGGTAAAAGGGAGAATATAAAACATATTTTTCCTGTCAGGTTAGAAGGGATGGGGTTTAAATGGTACAAGATTCATTAACTATTGTGGGTGAAAGAAGGTCTTTGTTGAAGACAGTCTGCTTTTGGTTCTCAAGGATGCCTGAATTTGAATTGCAGTGAAAAGGAGCCCTTTTAATATCATTGGGCCTAAGGACCACTGGAGTGGGATTCTGGAGCTGGGGGGGGGGTCTAGTTTGGATTAGAACAACCAGTGGGGAAACTGAGAAGTTTACTGGATATGGGGAACCAGATTGAATTAAAATTAGGAAGACATAGGATTAGGGTGGCTGTTGGGGATGGCATGGTTCGAGTGCTGCTTCTCTAGGTGACACTGGGAACCTACTTTCATTTGGGGTGAAACTGATCATTTGAAAGCTCTAAGAAGGGAATGCGGCATTCACAGAAACCAGCCAGGTAGATTTAAAGTTATTCTCAGGCATCTAAAACAGGCCCTTAACAATGGGGCCCCAAGGCTTTCTAGGGCTCTGTGGGTGTATAATTTCCATGTTCAATATGGCTAATATGAACCCTTTATGGAAAAAGTACTCCAAAAAGGGGGACCCTAGTCGCCAGTTTTTTCTTGTCCACTCTGTCAGGAATATAGGACTACAAGGGAGGGGACTCCTAAGAGACTCATCACTGTGTGTGTGGAGATATTGTCTATGTAACCACAGCCTTTATGTGTGGAACTGGATAAGGGATCAGAAAACTGTCCACTGGCCCTTCCTATGCATGCACAAGTTGGGTATGAGTCCTTCTATGAGGTTTAGTATAATTCCAGGTCAACTTACCAGAGTCTATGAACATGGAAGTTGTACAAGCTTAGGTCTGAGCAAACTAAGACATGGAGGGTGGGATTGGGGACAGCCC